TTTTTTAAAGAAGGGACCCACCTGGGCTAGGGTTTTCCGTTTACTTCCCTCTTGTTTTAAAACAACGAAGACCCACTTACCCAGATACTTAGTTTGGGCCCAACGACCCAGGACAAATGCTAGAGAAAGCAAACTCCTCGTTAAACAATAATTAGATACGTACGTACACGTCAAAACTCATAACAAATACCGCAGCAGCTCGAAATAAAATGAAATGGAACAATTAAATTAAATAAAAAAATTTCTAAGAAAAGAGGCCCCGAGACTCGAGGGTAACCTAACATGAGTAACGCGGGGCGTTACATACGACATTGAAAATTAGGGACCTGTTAAACACAATTTAAAATTTATAATATTTTTAGACAACTTTTAGAAATCAAACTTATAATTTAATTAGTTTAATTTTTTAAAAGTAGGTCCTTAATAAGAACGTAATAATAGCAAAAAAGGGCCATTAAGAAACAGTTGCCTAAAAATTGGTTCATAGAATTTTTGTGGCAAACAACACAAATATTTTGATTAGGGTTCCAAAACATTCTTCCTTATTGTTTCTGTTATAGGGAGCAAAAATGGTCCAAGTGAGACAGGACCGTGAAGCCCGAGATCATTGATAAAGAGGGTCGGTCCATAACGAAAGGGCTAGCCCATTCTTGAAGACCGACTCGCCTAGGCGTCGAGACCACCTCGACGCTGTGGCCTCCTCAGCATCGAGGCGCTGGCTTCTAGTCTTGGTCTCCGGGTCAGGATGCCACCCGATCTCTTCTGCCTGGTTCCTATGTCAACGACCGAGTACCCCTACTCAGTGCCGAGCCCGACATTTTGTTGTCTACGAATTACTAGGCCTTCACAACAATCATCTAGGGCTCCTTTAGAAGGTTCTGGAAACCTTTCAAGCGACTATAAATCAATCACGTTGCCTAACCCTGAGGTAGGCTTAATTCGACCATTGAATTCTATTACTCTACTACTCCCCTTGCTAACTTAGGCATCGGAGCCCGTGTGACAAGAGTCACACCGATCTAGCCTTGTTCGATTTTGCAGGTTTTTGAGTCCCTGATAATCAAGTTTGGTGCAAACCTTGGGAGGAATTAGGAGAGCATAATCTACGCATCAACAGTTTCTATTATTTTTTCTTTATCAAATATACATGTACGAAAAAGAACTATGTTGAGATTCATCCGTTACACTGATCTAGCTTTGTTCGATTTTGCAGGTTTTCGAATCCCTAATAATCAAACTTGGTGCAAACCTCAGGAGGAACCAGGAGAGCATAATCTATGCATCAACAGTTTCTATTATTTTTTCTTTATCAAATATACATGTACGAAAAAGAATTATGTTGAGATTCGGGATGAATAAAGCTTTAAGGAAGTATCTTCGATCATAAGATTTTTCCCACTCTTGGAAAAAAAGTACAAATATTAAGTACAAAATTTCTTATCTAGTTATAGTTAATTGTTTTATTGGAAAAATTCATTTTTTACCCTTGTGTCCAGTTAGTTGTTTTATTGGAAAAATTCATTTTTTACCCT